CATACATTTAGTTTTTCATAGCGCGTGGTTGGTTGCATAAACTGTTGAAATAATGCAATAAAAATAAACAAAAGGGAAAAAAAGGTAACTTAACTTTACAACAACAAAAAATGATCTATTACTAAAATAAAAATAGGGTTTGTGTAAAAAATAAAGTTTGAATCAAAATGTGATATTTTGTTTTCAACAGCCGATCATCCCACGCCAGAAGCTTGCATTCACAATTGGCAAGTTTAAAGTAGAGGTAAGACATACCCGATCTTTGGTAATACATTATACCACCATTCAGAGGTAAGACATACCCGATCTTTAGTTATAAACTATACCACCATACAGAGGTAAGACATACCCGATCTTTAGTTATACACCATACCACCATACAGAGGTAAGACATACCCGATCTTTAGTTATACACTATACCACCATACAGAGGTAAGACATATCCGATCTTTAGTTATACACTATACCACCATACAGAGGTAAAACATATCCGATCCTTAGTTATACATTATACCACCATACAGAGGTAAGACATATCCGATCTTTAGTTATACATTATACCACCATACAGAGGTAAGACATATCCGATCTTTAGTTATACACTATACCACCATACAGAGGTAAGACATATCCGATCTTTAGTTATACACTATACCACCATGCAGAGGTAAAAAACATCTTCAGCTAATCTACTATCTATTCGTTTAACGAAGTGATCTTTGGTTTTGTAATCAGTTCCATACAGATGTTAGTGTTTCATAAGATAGTGCGAATTTTTATTTCTACAACAATTTTTGGTAGGACAAAGCAATTCTTCAATCATGCAGCTACCGACACCTACCTGTAAGTCGGCGTGAAAGGGAAATGAAACGATATCGAGTGTTAACTTGGACGGGAGTTTACGTGTTGGTAAGATAATTAGATAATTCTTTCAATTTCGCTACACATTAGTTTCTGTGGAAGTGTACACTTTGGTACATGAGCTTCTAGTTCTCATATAGAGACAATTAGTGTTAACACAACAACATGGGAGTTTACTTATTGAAAAAGAAACACAGAGATCATACATTTCGGTTACTAATACTCACTTAGCTTTTCTAAGAGTTAATGCAATCTTTTTTCTTCACAGTTTCAGAACATGATGGAGTGCCTGAAAAAGGTAAGTCACCACAATTATTAAACTAATTAAATTTGTTCAGTCGAGGAATTCGCGCATTTAAAGAATCTGGATTAATCTTTCTGAGCGTGTATATGGAGTAAATGAATCTTACTGGATATTATTTAGTGACTTAATATAAAATGTCCAACAGAGTGAGAATGTAACAGGTTTAGTTTATTGTATCAACTCATCTTACTGGATATGATTTGGTGACTTGATATAAAATGTCCAACAGAGTGAGAATGTAACAGGTTTAGTTTATTGTATCAACTCATCTTTGTGGATATTATTTAGTGACTTGATATAAAATGTCCAACAGAGTGAGAATGTAACAGGTTTAGTTTATTGTATCAACTCATCTTACTGGATATTATTTGGTGACTTGATATAAAATGTCCAACAGAGTGAGAATTTAACAGGTTTAGTTTATTGTATCAACTCATCTTAATGGATATTGTTCGGTGACTTGATATAAAATGCCCAACAGAGTGAGAATGTAACAGGTTTAGTTTATTGTATCAACTCATCTTACTGGATATTATTTAGTGACTTGATATAAAATGCCCAACAGAGTGAGAATGTAACAGGTTTAGTTTATTGTATCAACTCATCTTACTAGATATTATTTAGTGACTTGATATAAAATGTCCAACAGAGTAAGAATGTAACAGATTTAATTTATTGTATCAACACATCTTGCTAGAGGTACCTCATAATAAAATTAATTTACTCTTCAACAACTTGGGTTTTCATTTAGGGTTCGTCTGCAATGATTAAACTGATTTACAAATCGGACATTAAGTTGGCTTTCGACAGAGTAAAAGAGACGAAATACATATGAAATATTTCCTTTTAACCTTTGACCCTAGCACCACAGGAAGCCTGCGTTAACACTCTGCACCACTAGAACAGAAAAAGTGTGATTCTGAAGACAAAGCAAGATTTATTTAGATTCATTGTATGAGGTACAGGTCCTCCTTTACAATGCCTAATGTCCTTCAATGTCGAAAAAAGATTAGAACCCCCTACTCTAACACATCTAAAGCATCTAACATATGTACAACAAAGGATCATTTATCTTTCACACCCACCCTTCAGAACAATATCCACACCATCTAACACATGTACAACAAGGAATCACTTGATATTTCAAACATTCTTTCACACCCACCCTACCCTTTAGAACAATATCTACAGTATCTAGCATATATAGAACAAGGAAGCATTTATCCCTCACACCCACCCTTCAGAACAATATCTATAGCATCTAACACATGTACAACAAATAATAATTTGATCCGTCAGACTTTTCTTCGCACCCACCCTTCAGAACAGTATCTCAATCATATAACATATGTACAACAGGGAATCATTTAATACTTCAATCTTTCCTATACAACACGTTTCAGAACAATATCTACAGCATCTAACATATGTACAACAAGGAATCATTTGATCCTCAATCTTTCCTTCACACCCACCCTTCAGAACAATATCTACATCATCTATCATATATACAACAAGGAATCGTTTTATCCTTAAAACGTACCTTCACACCTACCCTTCAGAACAATATCTACAGCACTTCACATATGTACAACAAGAGGTGATTTGATCCTTCCAGCTTTCTTTCCCATCCACCGTTCAGAACAATAACTACACCATCTAACACATATACAACAAGGGATCATTTGATCCTTTAAAGTTTCCTTCACACACACCCTTCAGAACAATATCTACAGCATCTGACATATGTAGAACAAGGAATCATTTGATCCTTCACACCCACCATTCAGAACAATATCTTCAGCATATAACATATGCAGAACAAGGAATCATTTATTCTTTACACCCACACTTCAGAACAAAATCTACAGCATCTAATATATGTAGAACAATGAATCATTTATCCTTCACACCCAACCTTAAGAACAATATCTACATCACCTAACATATGTACAACAGAGGATCATTTGATCCTTCAATCTTTCCTATACAAACACCTTTCAGAACAATATCTACAGCATCTAACATATGTACAACAAGGAATCAGTTGATCCTTCCAACTTTCCTTTACACCAACCCTTCAAATCAATATCTAGAGCATATAACATATGAATAACAAGGAATCATTTGATCCTGCAAACTTCCCTTCGCACCTACCCATGAGAAATATATCTATGGCATCTAATATATATACAATAAGGAATAATTTGATCCTTCAAATTTTCCTTGACACCCTTCAGAACAATATCTACATCATCTAACATATATAAAAAGGAATAAATTTTCCCTTCACACCCACCCTTCAGAATAATATCTACAGCATCTAACATATGTACAACAAGGAATCATTTGATCCTCCAGACCCACCCTTCAGAACAATATCTACAGCATCTAACATAAGTACAACAAGGGATCATTTGATCCTTCAAACTTTCCTTCACACCCACCTTTCAGAACAATATCTACAGCATCTAACATATGTACAACATGGGATGATTTGATCCTTCAAACTTTCTTTCACATCCACCGTTCAGAACAATAACTACGTCATCTAATATATATACAACAGGGAATCCTTTGATCGTTCAAACTTTCCTTCACATCCACGCTTCAGAACAATATCTACAACATCTAACATATGTACAACAAGGAATCATATATCATTCACATTTGTCTTCACGCCCACCCTTCAGAACAATATCTACAGCATATAACATATGCACATTAATGAATCATTTGATCCTTCACACCCAGCCTTCAGAAAAATATCTACAGCACTTCACATATGTACAACAAGTAATGATTTGATCCTTCCAACTTTCCTTCACACCCACCCTTCGGAACAATATCTACAGCATCTAACATATGTACAACAAAGAATCGTTTGATTCTTCACACCCACCCTTCGGAACAATAACTACATCATCTAACATATGTACAACAAGGAATTATTTGATTCTTTAAACTTTCTTTCTCACCGACCCTTCATAACAATACCTACAGCATCTAACATATGTAAAACAATGAATCATTTCATCCTTTAGACCCACAGTTCAAAACAATATATATATATAGCATCTAACATGTGTAAAACAAGGGATCATTTGATCCTTCAAACTTTCCTTCACGCCCACCTTTCGGAACAATATCTATATCACCTAACATATGTACAACAGAGGATCATTTGATCCTTCAATTTTTCCTATACAAACACCTTTCAGAACAATATATACAGCATCTAACATATGTACAACAAGGAATCATTTGATCCTTCCAACTTTCCTTTACACCATCCCTTCAAATCAATATCTAGAGCATATAACATATGTACAACAAGGAATGATTTGATCCTGCAAACTTCCCTTAACACCCACCTTTCAAAACAATATATACAGCATCTAAAATATGTACAATAAGAAATCATTTGATTCTTCAAACTTTCCTTCACACCCACTCTTCACAACAATATCTACAGCATCTAACATATGTACAACAGGAGATCATTTGATCCTTCAAATTTTACTTCACACCCACCCTTCGGAACAATATCTACAACATCTAACATGTGTACAACAAGAAATGATTTGATCCTTCAAACTTTCCTTCACACCCACTTTTCAGAACAATATCTACAGCATATAACATGTGTACAACAAGGAATGATTTGATCCTTCAAACTTTCCGTCACGCCCACCCTTCAGAACAATATCTACTACATCTGACATATTTACAACAAGGAATCATATATCCTTCACATTTGTCTTCACGCCCACCCTTCAGAACAATATCTACAGCATATAACATATGCACATTAATGAATCATTTGATCCTTCACACCCAGCCTTCAGAAAAATATCTACAGCACTTCACATATGTACAACAAGTAATGATATGATCCTTCCAACTTTCCTTCACACCCACCCTTCGGAACAATATCTACAGCATCTAACATATGTACAACAAAGAATCGTTTGATTCTTCACGCCCACCCTTCAAAACAATAACTACATCATCTAACATATGTACAACAAGGAATTATTTGATTCTTTAAACTTTCTTTCTCACCCACCCTTCATAACAATATCTACAGCATCTAACGTAAGTACAACAAGGGATCATTTGATCCTTCAAACTTTCCTTCACACCCACCTTTCAGAACAATATCTACAACATCTAACATGTACAACAAGGAATCATTTTATCCTTCAAAGGTTCCTTCACACCCGCTCTTCAGAACAATATCTACAGCATCTAACATATGTACAACAAGGAATCAATTGATCTTTTAATCTTTCCTTCACACCCACCGTTCAGAACAATATCTACAGCATCTAACGTATATACAAGGAATCGTTTGATTCTTCAAACCCACCCTTCAGAATAATATCTACAGCATCTAACATATGTACAACTATGAATCATTTGATCCGTCAGACCCACCCTTTCAGAACAATATCTAAAGCATCTAACATATGTACAAGAAAGGATCATTTGATCCTTCAAACTTTCCTTTACATCTACCCTTCAGAACAATATTTACAGCATTTAAAATATTTACAACAAGGAAGCATTTGATCCTTCCAACTTTCCTTCACACCAACCCTTCAGAACAATATGTACAATATCTAACATATGTACAACAGGGGATCATTTGATCCTTCAAACTTTCCTTCAAACCCACCCTTCAGAATAATATCTACAGCATATAACATATGCACATCAAGGAATCATTTCATCCTTCACACCCAGCCTTCAAAACAATATCTACAGCGTCTAACATATGTAGAACAAGAAATCATTTCATTCTTCAAACTTTCCCTCACACCCACTCTTCAGAACAATATCTACAGCATCTAACCTATGTACAACAGGAGATCATTTGATCCTTAAAATTTTACTTCACACTTACCCTTCGGAACAATATCTACAACATCTAACATGTGTACAACAAGAAATGATTTGATCCTTCAAACTTTCCTTCACACCCACCCTTCGGAACAATAACTACATCATCTAACATATGTACAACAAGGAATTATTTGATTCTTTAAACTTTCTTTCTCACCGACCCTTCATAACAATATCTACATCATCTAACATATGTAAAACAAGGAATCATTTGATCCTTCAATCTTTCCTTCACCCTCACCCTTCAGAATAATATCTGCTGCATCTAAAATATGTACAACAATGAATCATTTGATTTTTTCAAACTTTCCTTCACACCCACCCTTCAGAATAATATCTACATCATCTAACATATGTACAACAAGGAATCATTTGATCCTTCAGACCCACCCTTCAGAACAATATCTACAGCATCTAACATATGTACAACAAGGAATAATTTGATCTTTCAAAATTTTCTTCACACCCACCCTTCAGAACAAGTAGAAAGTTAAATCCGTAGGCACGCCCCCGTGCTTTCCGAGCATTGTTTTACTAATCCCAAATCCATGCATAAACATCTGAGTACATAAGTTACAAATATTTATATATATGTGAAACAATAAGTTAATTACAGTAACAATGGAAATTTAATAATGTGTAAAGTAAGACACCCCACTAGTGTTGTTTCTATGATTTTTGTGTTTAACCCACTACTGATAAAAAATACTTTCTTTTCTGGCTGTGTCCCCCACAAATAAAACAGCTGCATGACGTCATTGATTGAATTCGCCTCTTATTTTCCATGAGCTTATCAATTCTCCTTCTCTTGTGAAGTACCAGCCTCCACCACTACCAATCTCAACTCAATTCATAAATCAATCATCCTTTTAGAAACATAAAAATACATTGTGAGCACTGGAAATCTTTTGACGTACAGTTTAAGGTTATGTTAAGTCGCCGCCATAGACCACCAATTGTTATGTCATTCGTATTCTCATTCTCAATGAGATATTATGGGTGGAAATCTGCTGACGTACGGTTATCAGGATTTTATATAAAGTATCACAGTCTACAATAACAGAATTTAGTGGTGTATAGTGAAAATGTTGCCTCTCTTCAAATGAACTTAACATGTATTTGTTATTATCAGGTTCACAAGGTTGGGGAAGTACAAAAGCTAGCTGATAGTGTGCCACGTGAAGTGTGCACTATGAGAATCTATAGTTCATTATTGGGATAATGTTATGTGTATACAAAATAACTTCAGTGTAATAAATTCGTTATAACCTTTCCCACACGTAGTGTTCACATCATAAATCCGTTATAACCTTTCCCACACATAGTGTTCTCAAAATTCCTAACATTAGATCACTGCTACAATAAAAACTAGTCGGTCAATTCAAGTGTTAACTGTTTATCACCTCGAACATAGGAAGCTTGTTGCATTCACGTATGTTTCAGGAGTTTCATATAGATTCATTTTATTAGATCATTTTATATCATTACAAAAGTCGTAGGATATAAAAACAACTTTGTTAGGAAGCTTGTTGTATTCACGTATGTTTCAGGAGTTTCATATAGATTCAGTTTTATTAGATCATTTTATATCATTACAAAAGTCGTAGGATATAAAAACAACTTTGTTAGGAAGCTTGTTGTATTCACGTATGTTTCAGGAGTTTCATATAGATTCATTTTATTAGATCATTTTATATCATTACAAAAGTCGTAGGATATAAAAACAACTTTGTTAGGAAGCTTGTTGTATTCACGTATGTTT